GGAATCATTTTAACAAGCGTACAGGGACTTGTGCTACCCTCTACTGGTGACTTTATTCCTTTAATAGCTGTCCATCTGAGGCAGTGTTTCAGTATTGTTAAATAAAATTTAAAATTCAGTTCCTCATTCACACTAGACATGTTTCAGGTTCTCAGTAGCCACATGTGGCTGGTGGGTACTATATTGGACAGCACCAATATGGAACATTTTCATTGTCACAGAAAGTTGCATTGAACAGTACCACTTAGAAATTTGAAAACAAAATATCCAGGGAGTTTCTGTTTTAGGGATACGAATGAAAATGATGCTTAATGCTATCATGTTACTCCCTTTTGCATTTTGTAATTTAATCTCCAGCATTCCTATGAGGGTAGGCACTGTTAATGGCCCCATTTTAGGGAAAGTTAAATAATTTTCCCAAGGTCACATTAAGTGGCCCATGTTGACAGGAGGCACTCTGACTCATAACCTCTACCTTATGTAAGGTTAAATTAAATATGCCAGTGTGCAGTGTGGCCCTGAATCGGGGAGGAGGACATTGGAATCCCGAAAGCTTTTCTTGCTGTTTAACTGTTAACATTTAACTCATCTGTTTGATTTCCCAAAAAAAATTTTTTTAAGTTAGTATTTTCTTACACATTGTTGTTGCCATGACATTGGGTAGTTCTGTCAGTACTTAACCATCTACACCAGCACGCCTACCTTAGTGTTCATTTATTTGGTAGACTTGTTCCCTCTGCTTACCTCACCCCCTTGACATTCTCTCTGACTGTATTAAGTTAACTGGGTCTACCTTCTAGGGGAAGCATAGAACAATTTTGGACATGTCTTTGTTTTAATTGGTGCCCCCTTTTCCTGTGTTTCAGTGAAAAGCAAGAAGAAAACTCCTTGGCATCTGAGCCACAGGCAAGAAATGGTAATGTTATTTGCTGGAGTTTAGAATGGATGGAGTAAAGACAATTCGTTTCTATTAGGATGGTGACTCTAGCCGTCGAACTTGCCTCCTACCCTTCCTCAGTTCTCTCTTCCTCACACCTTATCCTGTGCCCGTCTATTCATCTGACAGACAGTTTACAATCAGGACTAGTTCTTCTTACTAGTGCTATGTTAACTAGGCGCAATGTAATAGACACCTAAACATTTGAATGAATGAACAGCTTCTCAAAGAGCTGCCTTTCCAGTGTCAGGGCATTATGGTTTTTATGGTCAGTGCCAAATACTGGTTTCCTACCTAGATTTTTAATTCTGTAATCCAAATAGCATAAATTTGGGAGGGAAATGCCAATTGATAGTATCACAATGTAAGTGAGAGAAGGTGGACTCTGCAAAGGCTCAAACTCAAAGCCATTTTTGTAGAAAAGTAGATACCTTTAAGCATTTCTAGGATATTAAAATCTAATTAAAGTCACAGTAATTATATTTGTATTATCTTTAGGTATTCCATAATAGGTCTTTTTTTCTGACTCCTTTTGTTTTAGTTATGACCCAGGGTAGAAATAAAATTGAGAATAAATAGGAAAAAATTCCTACCTAGTGGGATCTATTATAGTGAATCCATCCCTTTCTTTCCTAGGGTCCCAAGGGCCAGGCCAAGGGACTTGGTGGCTCCTGTGCCAAACAGAAGAAGAATGGAGACAGGTCACTGAGAGTTTTCGAGAGAGGACCTCCCTTCGAGAACGGCAGCTCTATAAGCTCCTCAGTGAGGACTTCTTGCCTGAGATCTGCAACATGATTGCCCAGAAGGTATACAGACAGTAACGGATACTGATGCTCCCTTCAGTTGTGTATGATGGTACATTAAGGATTATTAATTAGAACTTTGAAGTGCATTCCACTGTCCTGAAAATAGTGCGGGCTTTCACCTTCTCTGAACTGTGGGATCTCCTGCCAGAACCAAGTGCCCACCAATACTTACAGTGGCTTCTGACAACTTCCTTCTCCTGTGCATTCCCTAGGGAATGTTCCCTGAGCCCCCAGGTGTGTCTCATGTCACCCTGTGCTTACCTCTATTTATATGCTTTAAAAAAAAAATCATCTTCCGGGTCTGTCTCTTCTCCTAAGCAGCAAACTTTGAGGAGCATTTGTCTTTGTAGCTCCAGTGCCAGCTCTTTGCTTGGCTCTACCCTCTTCTCCAAGTTATGGTTTCTTCAGCTGTATGCCTTATACTTTCATGGATGCAGACCGTAATTCATGACATTTTGAAACACTGTTCCTCCTCTACTTCCTCAGCCATTTGAAAAGTACTCTCTCAAAAGTCCCACTTAAAAGTCACTTTGCCCATGAACTGTCTTCATTTTTCCTAGCCTTTAGGATTTTCTTCCTTAACATGTTTCCTTGTGCCTTACTTTATTTCACTGTGAGTTTAAGCCTCTTTGGCTCAGGGACCAAGTCTTATTTGTCTTTTTAACCCATAGCACCTCACGTAATGCCTTTTCTATGGTGGATGCTTAATAATCATTTCGTTTTCTTACTGCATATCAATGATGCTAACACTCGTGATTATTAATACATGTTAACAGAGCACCAGAAATATTTGACCACTTGCCAATGAAATCTCAAGACAAAGTATTTATAAATTATTGTTGCATTACCTACAGGAAAGTACAAAATTTCAGATCTGTTACCTCATTTATTGTGGATCCAATGATATGTTTGATCTTAAGCAGGTTGATACTTGAGGGAAAATTCTAGAAATTTACCTTTCCCCAATAACAGGAATGTAAAACAGTGCTTAATGACTCACATAGTCATGGATGATGAAGGAAATCAGCATTTCCCTATCAATATACTTAATTCCATATAAGATAATTACGTTTAGTTTTTATGATCTCTAACACAGTGCCAATTTTTCTAGAAATTGAAATACATAATCTAGTTTTCTTAAAGTAACTATGATACACAGCAGTAGTTTTATGACTTTGTATAACCGTGTATAA